TATATATATATATGTTCGTTACAGACTTGGACGGTATGTGTTTGACGTATAAGTGCTCGGTGAAAGCTGTTGTGAATATATATACATTAATGTTACATGTACAAGCTGTCTGTACCAGCTTTTTGTCGCAAACACACCGTCTCTCATGACTTGTATTTGATTGGGCGACGATTTGTATCGAAAAGAAAAAAGAAAAAAAAATCATTGTTCAATATATGAAAAAGCATCCTTTAGATTTCTCAATTTTCCGGGTTTTCTTCTTCTTTTCATCCAAGTTGATTTGCCGTTCGACAAGTGGTATATATAATTTATGCGACGTCCGCAATAAAATGTCGCTTACATCGAGTTCACTACATGATAATTAAACGATTTATCTCGTATTTACATATATAGTCTTACTCTTGGATCGCATAATTTATCATTTGAGCCAAACGTGAGATGGATAAATTCACAGGATAAGATCAAACTTTTTAAAAAAAAAAAAAAAAAAAAATTGTACACCATCAAAAATGAGTATTCAATAAACTTGAAACGCATAAACGTACCTCCACCCGAGCGTATAAACACGTATTTTCTCACGCTATGATGCAACTTTCCAAAAACCCTGACGAAAAAAAAAGACCTCTTGCAATCCGAAATTTCTCAGCTGAGAAAATACTCCCCTCCCTCTATTGTTCAAGCAATCACCGATTATCTGAAAAAAAAAAACGCTCCGGCAGCTGTATCGCCCGAGTTCCCAAGGGCTGGAACCAGCGTATAAATTCCCAACCAACCCAAGTCTTTCTCCGTCTCGATTTCGTCCGCGAACACCGTACATACGAAATTGAAGGAAGGAAAAAAAAAGGTTTCTCCTTTTCTTCGAGGCCACGGTGTCAACCAATACCACCACTTGTTCATTGTACCCGAGCCTGGGATATCGTAAACCGATACTTACCCACACGCCGAAGACGAGAAGCCAAGGATAGGTACAAACATACGTACACAGAGTCGAGCGATTGCTAAAAGGTGGGGTCGGCCGGTCAATCAGGGATACAGGTAAGCAGGTACGTTGGAACACGCGGACCTCCTCTCCGTGGGTGAAGGGGATAAGGTGGAAGCGATCGACGCGGTAAAAGCGACCGGGAGATCGAGCGAGCGGGACGGAGCAAAGTTAGCGAGGCCGCGCTTGCCGTGTACCGCTGCTGGGTTGGCTATGTTACACCTCGCTCTTAATTCAGTATTCGAGAATCGAGCCGCGAACACCGGAACAACCATGAGCCGGTGCCTCTATCTGCTGTCTTTGGGCCTCGTCGCCACTGCGATGATCGGTAAGCTCGTCTTTTCTTTTTTTACTGCTACATGTGCAAGTTTCGCCTGTACTGCTTGCTTTTTTTTTTCACTACCGATCGCTCGATTACCCCAAAATTGAAGGTTTTAAAAAAAAAAAAAAGAGAGAGAAATCTTTTTTGGCGATCGGTTCAACGATACACCTATAATAAGAGGTTCCGAATAACGTTAACAAAACCACATGTAATGGCTCGACGAGTGAAAGTATCGGCCCTCGCGCGGTGCATATTATATGTGTTATATACACACTGTATCTTAGACACCACTGTGCTTCGTTCCATTGTTCCAAGTATCTCCGATCGGTCGATTTTTTCAAGTTCACCGATAAATATTGATAAAAACTCGAATAATTCATATTCAAGAGACAGTGTTTTCCTCAATATCCAACAGAATTTCGTACTCATCGTCGGTTACGCACTTGTGAGCGCAACACCTGATTAACCATCGTTCATTCGTACGCGCGTACACGCGAGGCCATGGTGCTTTCACCGCACCATACGGTTTCTCCGTTTTGTGCACTGATTTTCGGGCTCGCTCTTTGTTCACCTTTGCTACATAGTGAGCATTTGTTGTTTCTTGGTTTCAAAAAATAGTAAATTACATCGGCAATTGATATTACAACTGTTTTGTACGAACTGGAGAAAATTTCGCCACGGATCTCCTGTGAAAAGAAAAAATCGGCACACCCGAGATATAGCGGCAACCGATTTTCAGATGAGAAATAAAAAAAATCATCGGTATTTACGCACCCCCTGTGTACTTAACGTAGCCACGAAATAAAAGATGCTTGAATGTCTTCGTGAATAATTCATGCACACCCGATCGCACGTATAGGTATGTGCACCCTGCCGTGTCGCACATTGTACGTAGAATCGACAGATATCCATCACTCGCTGCATACCACCAGCGGCTGATTGGCATTCGCGCCTAAGGTAAAATACCCAATAGCGGGACAAGTGCAAATCGTGGCGCAGTACTGGGACAAGTAGCGATTTTATATAATACAGTGTTTTTAAATGATGTTGCATTAGACATTTTCATTTTAGCATACTATTTGCATTATAATGTTTATATAAATATCGCTATTACAACATAAATATTAATAGTTAATTAGAAAGTTGATTAATAATATCAGTCTAAGGGAGTTTCCTATTTTTTATGTAAATATAAGGAATTTTATAGCTCTCAACATAATTTACAAACTCACTTTTATCGATTAGTAAAAGTTGTTTTACCAAGTGAAACGTATGTATGAATAGCCAACACATTTGAAAAGCTAAAGCATATCAAAAAATCAGAATACAATAAATATTCATTTAATTATTGCATGTTCCGTTATTACATAAGATTTTTACGCTGTAGCCCTATAGTTGGACAACATCCGAATTTTGTCCCAGCTTTACCGACACCTTAGTCTAGTCAGACCAGTAGTGGGACGTATAGTGTTATTTTATTATTTATTGTACCTTTTCTGTACAAGTAAGTACAATTATTATCTAAATTTCATTTTTATAAGTATTATTCATACAAGCAAACTTTTTAAATGTTTATAAACGTAAATGAGTTGTTGATAAAATATACAACGGATGTTTACATAAACTTAACCTCATTTATAGGATTATCTACTTACATTTCAAAAGAAAATGGCAAAATTAAAAAAACAAGTTGAAGTAACTGTTAAAAAGAGGAAAACTTGGAAAACAAAGAATAAGAATAGTACAAATAAAAAATACACTACCAATTCACGGTAGAATTTTTTTTCCTTTGGTTTTACAGTTGTTCAATAAATTAAATCTTACACGTTTTTTTAGATGACAGCGCAAACACATTTCCTGTAGATTTACAAGAAAATAATGACAATACTACAAGTACTTCTACGAATGACGGTAAATCCCGTTAAACATTTAAAATTAAACTATTATTAATAAAAATAAATATTTTAATTTTTTGTCATTGTAGATACTCTAACTTTGGATAAAATCTCTTCATTTGACAAAGTTTTTTCTTATCCAACTGTTAATGTAAAAAACAAAAAAAAGAGGAAAATACCATCAGGGGCATGTGTCGAAGATATGCTTGATTATTTAGAAAGTAAAGAGCAAATGAAGCGAACCCAAGAAAATGAAATCAAACTTAAAAAAGAGGAGAGAGAAAGGAAAAAAAGGATTAAAGATGCGGAAGCTGAGAGATGCAAAAATGTCATAGAAAAAAAGAAAGCGTTGCGAGAACGTAAAAGTAGTATATTGAAGAAAATAAATTGAAACAGAAGATCTCCAGGCCAAAATTAGTTTTAAAGAAAATATTGCTTAAGTATGTTCTTATATTGTGACCAAATACTTATGTAAAAATAATGCATTACAAATATTTATGTACTCTCTCACTATTATGGTTGAATATGATTATTAAAATGTACATACAAATTTAAATTTAATACAATAATTTTACCGGCTTTAATTTTAGCTATGTAAGAGTGTTTAACAATAAATTGGTTAGTCTAACTAAAGTCTTTAGTTCTATTTGTACAAAAACTGAGCTTGTCCCGTTATAGGGCTATAGGTGTCCCACTACTCCGCCGTGCCACAGTCTTATTGTCCCGTTACTGCGACAAAAGTCTTTTTTATCTTTTCATCATATCATTTTTATGTTTTAACTTAGCCTCAATTTTTTAATTTTTTTACTTTCTTTAGAAAATAGCGCACTAAATAAAACCGAAATATCATGCTTTATTTCAATATTTTTGATGTTATTACAATCTTAATCTGGCCTCATTTGAGCTTTGTCCCGCTATTGGGTATTTTACCTTATGTACAATTCAAAAGCATCACCGCGGCATTCACGACTTTTTTTTCTCTCCCTTTTAGAATACGTTATACTTGAGGGCTGTTTGTCATTCAAGTAGCAGAGTAGCTTCCTCGCCGTTTCCCTTGACGCGTATTCGCGCCACCGATGGACGCGGGGCTGTCCCGATAACGGGCTCTGCTATTTTATTGGATACCCACACGCACACACGTATCGCGCGGTCTTGGAACAAAAGTGCCGATCGCATGCCGATTTCCAATGAATTTATGCCAGAGTACCTATACGCGCTAGACGGAGTAAAATAATAACAGACAAACCGGATTAGCGACTCTGTGTTGGACAAAAGCTCTTAGATGGCGTTTAAACAACCACTTGTCTCGGCAATTATCTCGTTCTCATGTACAATTATTCATCGGAAATTCATATTCCCCCCCCCCTTCGATCGAAACTCGTTTTGCTTTAATCTACGCTCGAGCGATTGGCGTATAGGTGATTGCAAATGTTGCTTTTCCACGTCAACAATAATGAATTTATGGGAAAAAAAAAAATCACAGTTCAAGCCGTGCCACTGCTCGACGGACTGGCGCCCCGTTGCCCGGAGGAGTACGGCGAACAAGCGTACCCGCACCCTGAGGACTGCAACTCGTTCTTCCTGTGCGTGAACGGCACCTTGTCTCTCGAGCGCTGCGAGAACGGACTGCTCTTCGACGGCCGCGGTGGAGCGGTGCACAACCACTGCAACTACAATTGGGCCGTCGATTGCGGCAAACGACCGGCCGATCGTGAGTCTTTTTTTAAAATTTATTTTCCACTTTTTCGGCAAAGCACGATAAACACGTAACGATCGGTTGTCCAGTGACGCCTCTGAGCACACCCGGTTGCGAGTACCAGTTCGGCATCTACCCGGGCCACGAGGCTTGCAGCACGACCTTCATCAAGTGCGCCTACGGCGAGCCCCTCGAGACCCACTGCGACGCGGGCCTCGTTTACGACGACAAGAGCCACTCCTGCATCTGGCCCGACCAGCTTCTCGAGTACTGCAACCCTGCGGAGGTCGTTGGCTTCAAATGCCCCCACAAGCCTCCCAACGCCGCGGCCGCCAGGTTCTGGCCCTACCCAAGGTTCGCCTTTCCCCCCCCCTTTTTTTTTCCAAACCAACGAGTAATCGTCGTTGTTGTTGCAAAGGTTCCCCGTGCCCGGTGACTGCGGACGCCTGATAACCTGCGTGAATTATCATCCTCGGCTCATCACCTGCGGCGAGGACAAGCTCTTCGACAAGGAGACTCTGACCTGCTTGGACAAGGACGAGCTTCCCCACTGGTGAGACAATCATATCACATACATACGTAATGTGCGGCATGTCGAGTTTCGACACTCTCTCTCTCTCTCACGGGTTGCCCCCTAGGAGGGAAAGTTGTTGTTGTTTTGACGATCGTTATCTTTTTTTTTTGTTTTTTTTTTTCCATTTCAGCGCATAAAAAAAGGACGTGACGACAGCTTGATGAAGGAAACTCCGAGTGAGACGGAAAAAAGTGCCTTGCAGTGTGGCCGTGTTTTGTCCATGCGCAGTTGAAGGACCATGCGTGTGGAGGTCGTTTTTGTTAATTTTTTTTACAAATTTTAGTACAATCTTTTTTTTTTTTTTTTTTCACCGCGAATAAACGTTTTGGCCGAAATTTCAGAAGAATATTGTTTTCTTGTAATATACAATAAAAGAATAAATAATTTTTTTTCAAATTTTGATTCCAATGAACCTGTTGTTGATGTGGTTGGTACATATTTAAGTGGTTCAAGTAGGCAGGGGTGATGAGGAATACATGGAGCCAACGAATGAAAACACAGAGCCATTGTAAATCGGGAAAAAATAACTTATTTAATTTCTTACAAATCGATGTACAAAAGTTCAAGAAACAACTCTTTTTTTCGGCTACTGCTTGCTTGCTCGTCGTGAAAAAACACAAGCTGTTAACAGACTACCTGCAGTCCGTCTTCAAATTTTTCCAAATGCTAATCTTAATTTGTTCATCAAAACAAAGTTCACTTTTATCTTCCAACCGTATCACTTAGAGGTAAAGGAATACACTGATATACGTGTAATATATGTTATATATAAAAAAAATACATATTATAACGAAACATTACAGGGTCACAATTGTCTACACATGTGTGAATGTTCAAGTGTGGCGTGCGTTAATTTATAACTAAAAGTCATGAAATCGCATGAATTGATGGCTTTTGTCGTTCTAGTGTGTAAAAAAAGCGAGAGAAGGATAAAAATCAGAAATAAGAATAAAAAAAGGCAACGAGTACAGGGAGCTCAATGAAAAATTACAATTGCGTATCATCCGAGTGCCCACTTTGAGCTCTGCACAATAAAGTTAAAAAAAAGAAAAAAATTAAATGGTAACAAAGATGACTTCCAAGTCGCTTGATAGTGTAGTCCCGAATTGTACGTTTTTTGGGCTCCACAGGAATTCTAAATGGAAAATTTTCGAAATTTCCGCACAGAGCATTATTATTTTTACTTTTCTTCATCATCTCTTTCCAAGTCACCTTGAATTTCCTTGTCTTTTTACATGGGGTTTATAATAAAAAGAAAAATATTAAAACAAAAAAAAAAAATTATCATTTGGTAAAAAAACCTTATCTCTTGACGATATCAGTTACTTCGTACCGGGTGTGAAAAATTACATGAGAATACGTGTGTACAATGTGATATTATACGTAATGCGCGTGCGAAAGCAGAGATAAACATATACTAGGACATGGTTTCGCAACATCAATTCCTCTTTCTTACCGAAGTATCATAGGTACACGTTAAAGCTACGAAATATAAGTAGAACGAATAAGAGAGAGGGAAGAGAAAAAAAAAAAATAGGAATACCAATATAATAACGATGGTAGGTGTGTAGGTATAGGGTGTCGTCGCGTCACGTTCTCGCAGTCGCTCTACAAGTGTACGTAATATGGAACTGCCTCGGTACATTTTGTATGAAAAAAAAAAAAAAAGAAAAAAAAGAATAAAAGAAACTCAATAGTGTATGATACGGAGAGGCGGGTGGTTCAGTTCCTGGTCCTTCCTTGCTGCTGCTGTTGTTGTTGGGCTCTCGTGAGCTGCAGGGGAATGGCACCCTGTGGCAGGGACGCCACCCCAGGGGGTAAGTTCTCCTCCTCGGGCTCTTGCTCGTTGCGGTTCTCGGGTAGGTCGCCATCGAGGTTGGGCGGAGTCGTCGGCACGTCGCAGTCCTCGGTTGGCGGGACGACGCAGCGCAGAGAGCGCTTGTCGAACACCAGCATGGCCGGGCAACGCTGGAGCCGGGGGTAGCCGCCTTGGCACTGCCAGTAGCGGTTGCACGACTTGCCCAGCGGAACGTTACCGTTCGCGTCGTCGTTGCAGAGAGCTACGATTTTTGTTTGTTTGTTTTGTTCGTGTTTTTCATTTGACAATCAACAAATTGGTGCTTGGTCCAAGGAGCAAACAACTCACGGTGCTTCTGGCATCCCTCGACGTTCTCGGGCCAATCGCAGGAGCGCGCCCGTTCGTTGTAGAGTAGGCCGCCGATGCACAGCTGTTCGGTGGCGGTGCCGTTCCAGCAGGTCCAGTACCTCGTGCAGCTGGTCTCGTGTCCGAAGATGCCGTAGAGCCAGTCGCAGTGTTCGGCGCCGATCGGCGGGTTAGCTTGGCGCTTGCCGTCGCAGTAATTGGCGCGCCATGGGTAGTCGCAGCCTTCGGTGACCCCCCGGTGCTTGCCGGCAAATACCAAACCGTTCGGGCAGTCGAAGAGCTCCGGGCGACCGCTCACGCACTCCCAGTAGCGGTCGCAGTACTCCACGTCGCCGACGACCCGAGACTTTGTCTGGCAGGGGTCCTCCTGCTGCTGCTTCTGGCCCAGCGACTCTGCCCGAGGAAGAAGAAACACACGTGTACAATTAACATTTTTTTTTTTCTTTCTTCTTTTAGAAAATAATCTTTCATCGATTCAATCATGCGGGGTCATTCAATCATTGAGGTGATACTTTGCTCCGGTACTACCAAAATCATTGTGACTACGGTCTGAGATCTCCCTTTTTTTTTTTTTTTTTTTTTTTTTAATTATTATTATCATTTCCCCAAATGGCCACTATAAATGAGACCACCACGCGAGTCGGTATAGGTATATTTTAACACCAACATTTCCTACAGCCTCCACGTGCGCTCGTACTGGAAATACCAACTGCAAAATATATGCATTAGCCGGAGAGTTGCGAAAGGCAGCTGTACCCGGCGGAGCTTTGCTTGCAGACTTACATAAATATAAATATATAGGTACAACACAATACTTTAAGATCGCGAAATAATGCGAGAAACTCGTTTTTTTTAGCATTTCTCGAGACATACACCTATATATTGTACGTAGGCCTCCATCAACGGGAAGGCAATCACACACATCCAACGGGTTTCCCTCTTACAGCGTCGTCTACGAGCTAGACAGAGTATATAGGTATAGTATATATAAGTATAACTCGGGGCACACGTAAACTCGCGGTCGCGAGACTGTACAGTTGGGCACGTGCTTTTTCACAACTAGATCTTATTTCGCTGAAACGTTGCGGGGTCCCGCTCGCGCTTCCGCACGCTATGCACATTGTAATTTTGCAATTTCACACGTGAGGCGCGTCTCTTTTACCCGACAACGATAGCAGCGGGAACAAAGCGAGTAGAGAGAGGATGAGACAGAGAAGCGCGGAAACGGCCTACCCCCTCTGTTTAGACTGTGCCACGTGGGCTTTCGATTTTCCCCGAAATCATGGAACAAAGTTCCCTTTCTCTCTCTCTTTCCGCTAGTATATGGTGCAGATGCTTCTCGAAAGTCTAAGATAACACGTACAAATGTGACGTTACGGAATACAATGAGTAATTATAAAATAAAACCTCCCGCGTCTACGACTCGCTTCAGGAATTTCCATCCAACAATGCACCATCACCGACACGCTTTCATCTTCCAAAGAATGATGAAAAAACACCAGCTACACGCAGATATTTGGCTATGCAAACGGAAGCATCATCATCCCACCCACTGATCTTTTATTTATACAATAATCACGTTGATCCAATGAAACGCCGACCCGTGCTCTTTGCGTTTTACATCCGGTCGAGATCCATCTTTTATTTCCTCTTCCCCCATATATTTGTACCAATTGCCCGTGTCCGACCATACTCGGCTGTCTCTAAAACTTGGAGCACAACCAGGTGTACGTACGGAGTTGATCGCGGCAACAACCAGACTCCGAACAATCCCACGGCGTTTCGTCATTTGCCTCTTTAACAAAGCAAACAATGAACATTGACATCGTCACGATCGAAGCACCCACGGCGTGTAAAATAACTCATTACAATACATGGCGCATTATGGACACCCTCTTTCGTCACAATTGACCGCGGCTCTTTCGATCAATTAAGATATTACCAACTGATCCTAGGAATACAATGGAATGGCTACATAGTACTATATGCACAGCTGGTCGCCGATCGTGCATTTTTTCCCCTCAATTAACCAAACAGTAGGTAAGTATTAACACCCAAGAGGTGCAACGGTACAGGGCAGAGACAACAGGTGAGAGGTGTCGAGCGCTCCCATATACCTATGATGCTGGGCTCACGTAAAATATAAAAGGAAATTAGGAAAAAAAAAAAAAGAGGGAAAAAGAACTTATAGAAAAGCGCTCGTTACAACCTGCATTTATAACACATGTGCCTATATATAATATGTATACACGTATACAAAATGCCCATCTAAGTGAAAGCGTGTACTCTCTCTCGGCGTCGCGTCGGCAGCCTTGACTTGCAACCTTCACACCGCGGGTTTTGTACACGCGTGTATAATTAAACAACTCTCACCCATCTACGCTTATTAATTTTTATCTGCAACGAAAAAAAGGAAAAAAAAAAGGCCTGTGCTATGTTTTCATTCCGAACGCTCGCTCTCTTTATCCATTAGCGTCACTGTTGCACCGAGCCCCTCATTATATTTTCCCATTCGTAGGGACGATCGAGAAACGTTGGTATATCCATTGCGTGGGTGGCTGGAACGCAAGATCCATTATTACTGGAGCCGCCGCCAAAGGTTGGTGCTCACGTACATGGATTCTATTGTTATTATCACTATATTCGCTGGTCGTAAGGTATAAGCGGGAAAAATCATCCCACCCGTGATTTATCGTATAGCACGTACTTGAACTGTTTATCCCACGTTCATCGCTGTCGCTTTCGTTGTTTATGCGTTATTGCTTTTGAGATTTATTATTTTTTTTTTTTAAACATACCTACAATCGCACTCATTCGTGTGTACTTGAATCATTTGTCAACTCTTCTGTTTTTACCATGTGTCTTTTCTCTTCGGCATCACAAGGATGCCGTAAACAACAATGAGCGGCAAATTATTGTCAAAACTAATCAACAAATTTTCTTTTCAAAGCAATAAATTGTTTTAAAACCAAGCGAGCGTGCAATAATAAACATTATATACTGGATAAAAAAAAAAAACCCGAGCAAGTAGATAATGGCCGAGTCTGGTAAGACACACAGTTCAGACGTTAAATGCCGGTTGCTTTTTTTTGTAACACGTGCGCGCGGAGCTCGTTACTCGAAGGTGCAGGTACACTTATTCACTGAAAATTACGTCGATTGTAAATCTTTCCGTCTCGCGTGCGCTAAAAACTGATGTGTATACCAACGCGTGCCTGTTGTGAACGTGCCAAGGGTTTGGTTTTGCCTGGACGGTCGCTCAAAGTATTTTTCTTACAACTCGATGACCAAACCATTGTACGAGAAGACAAAAGGCACAAAATAATGGCCTGTTCGCATGCTCCGTTGTCTTTCTCGAGCTAACGAAAAAAGCTCGTTTCCGAGAGGCCATAGTTATCGGTAACTGCACGCTTCGTATACGCCAAAAGATACGTATACCTACATGTAGAAAAAATTTGCAGGTATCGCATAAAGAAGAATATTGTCGTAAACACGAGTGGATAAGAACACGAAAGATCAATCGAAAAATCAAAAAACATAGGTGTAAAGCACGCGAAATTGTTAACTCGTTAAATCGTTACCTAACAAAATTTCACATCACTCTTTCTCTCGGCTGTTATTCATTTTAATAAGGGCATTAACTTTTCACAAAGAAATAATAATGATCCAGCTCTCAGTGGCTTATGCAAGGCAATTTCGCAATTTCAGCCCAAGGGGTAAGGGGCCAACGCTTTACAAGTGTTGCATCTGTACATTTCCGTTCGCAACTCCGGAAAAGGATAAAGAGCGAGGTATTATACTACTCGGGAAAGCAATGATAGAACGGAAGAAAGTACAATAACTACGTTGAATAATAACTCACCGGCGAGTTGAACTGAATTTTTTTTTTTTTCTTTTTTTTGTTACATCATTTTTTATTCGGTCAGTATCCAATATACCGCGATTCCGAGTAAAGTAGAGGCTGTACGCTATATCATTCGAACGGCCTGTCAGAGATACCGTCTATCGTCCGATGACATATAGTCCGCGCTACACCTATACTTCTGCACCCATAAGTGCTTGGTCGAATTTACATTAACACGGCAACACCTTCGTTACGTCGAAACGGTAGATTCGCGTTATACATCGCAATTATACCCGTCCGTAATTTCACACCCGTGCTCTTGTGTGCAAAAAATAAAAAAAATCAACCTCTCATCCGCATTATCTCATACGCAGCCACGCGTACATGACCGTAATTGAATTGCGTGCAAACAGCTTTTCTGGTGTACGCTGAACGTCATTCGATCCGCGTAATCTGGATTAAGTATATTACGCGTATATCTGCGATCTTAATCTTATTTATAAGGACGCGATTGTCCCGGCAAACGTGGTTGCGTAAATTGTGGGCCTTGGAGCTCTGAATCGGAAAAAAATGCCGGAAGAAACGTATACTATCGTACCGAAGCTCGTCGCGCTGTTCGTTAGTAAACCGATCACGACACCTTGGGTGCCGTTACTCGACCGATTGTCGTCGTCGTTTATTAAACTCATTTACACCGGGTCTATTTATAGCTGTTCCGAGCTGCACCGTAATTCCGAGGCGAGGTGACTTGAAACACCTCGGGAAATTAAAAAAAATCGGTATCAAACAGCGCGCCGATTTTCTTTCGCGTATTTGTACCTTTGAAAGCTGCGGGGAAAAAAAATCATCAGAACGACAATTAAAACAAATGAGTACGAATAGCTGGAAAATCGGTTTGGCATGCCTATGGTATCGTGAAATCGGTAAATCATGGCAGTCGCATGAAAAATCGGACAAATGATTATATTTCTTGGGAATTGGTTACGAGGGACGACAACGACGATGGTGTAATAGGTGTACCAAGGAGTCGGTCGTTCAAAGTGACAGGGGGGGAAAAAAAATCGAGACTGGTAGTCGCATCAAAACCGGTAAAACTGGTAAATAATCAACAGAAGCCCGATGACGCCTGAGAGGAAGAAAAGTCTCTTCGTGGCTGCGCTGCGAGACTGCGAGTAAGCATATACAAAAAAAGGCGGGTCGTACGTTCCTCCGATTCCGTTATTACGTAAGACGAGGTATATTATATACGTATGCATTACATATACGAGTACATACACACAAGCAACAGTAGCAGCGACACGCCGATCCGTACTTTACTTTCCCTTCCATTTACAAGTACGATAGTTATGCCTGAGCTCATACATTTGCCGTCCGCGCGATTGCTCGTGTATGTGTATATCCTTTGCTCCCTTGTTCACGTTTTATTCGCTCGTTGAATTTTCGAGGCTGAAAACGACCGTCCTATGATTGCTCGCATAAATAATTTGATTACCACATTGGCAGAAAATCGTAAGCAGCGTTAATAAGCTTGTTCCACGAGTACATTAGCTGAAATAGAGCGATTTTAAAAGTTTGCTTTGCTCCACGTGTGCTCAATGATGATTTATCGCCGCTGCTGCGGTTACGATCCATCATTAACAATAAGGTCAAAAAGAAAGGCTGACACTGCCGCATGGCATCGCAATAAAAAAAT